AAAAAACAACCAAACAACAAAAAAAATTGTTTTAAAATTTAATTAAAATTAAATAAAATGCAAAATTTAGTTTTCATGCTAGTGCACTAGCTATTGTTTAAGTGTGCAATAGCTACATATGGCTAGTGGCTATCATATTGGGAAACATGTTCTAGATCATTCTATCTTGTAGAAATTAGATGTGGTTAGAATTCTGTGACTGCATGATCTTAAAAATATAAGGAATAAGATTGTTGACCACTATTTCTTTTTTTGTATACAGTTTACAACATCGTCAAGGAAGGGCTGTTGAGTTGTAGCACAAACCTGAACCTGGTCACTGACTGCATGGAACATGCTCTGACATCGGTACATCCACGAACTCGATATTCAGCTGGCTGGGATGCTAAATTTTTCTTCATCCCTCTGTCTTACTTACCTACATCGTTGGCAGACTACATTTTGACTAGATCTTGGCCCAAACCAGCGCAGGCAGTCTAAAGAAAACTGGCTTGGTGCTTCATGAAATGAAGACAAAAATCTGAAATTAGTTGTTAGTGTTTCAGTAATCCTGATTTAGAACCTAGGCTTTTTGTAACAGTGTGCTTTCTTGCCTAAATTCATTTATCTGGCATCATCGGAGGACTAACTATATTTCAGATATCCAAAGTTTACCATTTCTTTAGGTGATGAATCTTTACTACTTTAACCCTTTTTTGGTGAGACTATTTCCAAAGTGAATCATTTATTCTTGCCTTATTAAACAGAGTAGATGGGAAACAATTTAACCTATTTTGATGTCATTTCTTTATGTATATGAATAATTGCTCTATGCTGTAATAATCTATTGTGAAGAGATTACTAAGGAATATGTTGGTGTGCTTGTCCTTACTTGAAGTGGGTCTGTATTAAAAAAGTAAATATTTACTTTTAATAAATATTTGATTTTTCTTTCTCTTCAATTTTTGCTAGCAGTCTATTTTCCCCCAATATGTTTATTCCTTTTTTAAAAAGAAATTATTTTTTAAAATTTAAATCAAAATAATGTATACATATATAGCTAAAAATTCAATTAATATTCAAAGGCTTAAAATGAAAAAGAGCAATCCCTTGCCCTTATCCTCATCCTTCACTGCTGCTCATCAGAGCCAAATGGCCTCAACTTTTAGCTATTTCTTCTGATATTTATCTCTGAACTTCTACATGATATGCTGTTACTTTTTATTAATTTTAGCTATTCTCTGTTGACTTTCTGTCATGGTAAATGGAAATTTAGCTTTTTTTTTTTTTTTTGAGA